GTAGTGATTAATTCTGAAACATTTTTGAAAGCAAACCTGGTGTTTTTACAAGGCCAAATGGAAGGAAATCCTGGATAATGAAAACAAAAGTAAATGAACTATGGCATTTGCCACCAGTCATCACACTGCTATCTTAGATTAGACGACTATGACAGATTTATGGAAAATAAAGGTACTAGTCATGATAGCTGTATATTACGTCCACTTTCAGAAGCACTGTTCCTCTGGATATCAGTTGCTAGGGAACCTGAACAGAAAGGTGCAGAAGCACTAATGTTTCTGGGCTTCTTGAAAGGAATAGACTGTTTTTTGACTCAATGCAGCATAGTTGTTTTAAGCATTGGTGAAAGGGAGGAGAAATCATTTGAATGTTGAAATAGTAAATAGGAACTGATAGCGCTGTCCTGCATGGCTACTTAGCTTGGCCCTTTAAGAGTTCAGGCACTTCATTCTTCCCAGACTTACAACAATAAAACAAAAAAACAAAAACAAAATGTAAACATGACACTAGCAAAGGAATAAAACAATAAAAATAATGGAAGTACAGTATACTGTACGGAATGAAAAAGATGGGCGGAGGGAGAGCAGGAAGCACCGGGGAGGTGGGGTCAGCTAATTAGTCCAGTAGCCACCCCCAGTGATGTACTCCCCTATTTATATAATTTAAAGTTTATAGTGTCAGTTTCTGAAAAATATTAAATGTATTTTAGATTTTCGACACTAGAAAACACGATGTGTAATCTGTAGTCTGAAGTATACTTGCAGATCTTTCTAACTAGAGAGATTTATCTTAAATATTTATAGGTGTATCAGTGCCTTTGATCCTTTCACCTCTTATCCTTTCATTATATGAACTATCAGCAATATATACTATGCATGTTACAGTAATATAAACTGGAACGCAAATACTCTTTATCATTTCTTAATACTTAAAATACATTTTTAAGAGAATAGAGTATATTTAGAATCATATACTTCACAGCTCATTTCTGAGAAATAATCAACATTACATGTATTACAACTACATTTTTGTCTTGTGTTTTCCTTCAAAGGGGAGGAAGAAAGTCCAGTGTTTGCTTTTCCTTTACTTCTGCGGGAAGATCGACATATAGAGAATCTCTTTCTCCATTCTTTCTCCTGGAAGTTTGAATGTTTGCAGTGTGGCTACCACACCAACAATAGGTTAGTTTCTTTAAAAGTTCTGCGCTTCCTTCCTCCTTGGTATAACCATGCATTTCAATCAGTGTTTCGCAAATAATACATTATACAGGCAGGAGAGGGCAGTTGTGAGCATGGGATTTGCCTACTGGGCATCTTGAGTCACAGATCTGAAAGAGCATAACCCTCTACTGAAATATTTGAGAGTGGTTGGGTTTTTATTCTTGACATTCAGGATTTATCCTAACTGTTGCAATTGTATACATTGAGATATAAACATTATAATTCTTCAAAATTGTCTTAATATATGTTTTCTTGCAGCATAAAATAGGAAGCCAATTACAGGTGGTAGCTTCATCCTAAACTTCCCTTCGATGTTAGCCTAAATTTACATCTTAGTTCAATCATTTTATTTGTGATGGTCAAATCAATTCTTACTATCCCAAATTAGCATTCATATTTAGCTCTGCTAGATTTGTATTTATTCTGTTCTTTAAACTAAAGCAAAACATCAAGGATGAAGGAAACAATAAGTATAAAGTAAGGAGGAAAACAAAAATAGGACAAATAAGTTGAGAGTATGTATACATAAAAATATAGTAATTTCCAGGAAAAAATCAAACATCTTAAACACTCATATTCAATGTTTTGATGTAGAAAAACACATTTGGATGAAGGCATATATTAAAAACTTAAATTTTCAAAGAGGTAATTTGTACTTATTTGATTTATAACTCATCTAAAATCTAAAGTAGTCATAATTAATATGAGATTTATATAGTACTGTATCTTGATGGTTAAATTGTTATGCATTTTTAAATAGAAGTAAAATAGCTTTATCTTCAAAAATTTCCAGGCGGATTTATTGAGTTCAATCTCAAATTACCCCTCCAGAGTTTAAAATTTCCAGAAGATATAACTTTTCTAATATTGACTAGCGTCTCATAATTTAAGTGAAGTAAATGTGCACCATTCTTTAAATATAAATTGTCCCAAATGGTGACATCCTGTAAGTATAAGAAGAAATTATTAAACTTGTTTCATTTGAACATATATTCATTTTATTTTTAGTTGTCAGCGGACAATGACAACGTTTACAAATATAATCCCAGAGTGGCACCCATTGAATGCTGTTCATGTTGCTCCCTGTAATAAGTGCAATCACACATCTCAAAGAAGAAAAATGGTTTTAGAAAAGTAAGTGTGCATTTTATTATAATCCTCAAATGAGATAAACCTACATCAGCAGTTGATAAGCAATAATAAGCGATAGCTAATGTAAATTCTTAAGATCTGGCTTGGCTTGATGGATGAATACAAACACTAATGCTCCCAACTATGAAATCACCAAGCCATAACATATTTTTCACAGAGCATGTTATATTACTCTAACTGTAGTTTATTCAATAAATCATGGTTAACTGATGTGGCTTAACATAATGTGTGAGTTCAGTTCTTGAATGACATTCTATAAATACGAAGAAATCAGGAAATGTATCTTCTTAAGGATCTGCTCTTTAACAATTCTGAGTTACAATAACATCCCAAATGAGATTATATAAATTGTATTTATTTATATAATCTCACTTGGGATGCAATTGCCAAATGTTTTGCATTCCTTGAGGTCTGTGTGAAAACTCATAGATAGGTTACTGATATTTAGCTTTTAATCCCACTGCATGTTTTCAGTTTTGGTGAGATAATTAACACTAGTCTCAGGAATTTTTTTTACTTCTAAAAATCACAAATTGTTATGTTTATTTGGTAGGATCTCCTCAGTTCTGATGATGCATTTTGTTGAAGGCTTGCCGCATAACAATTTGATGGCCTACTCATTTCAGTTTCAAGAATATTCATATCAAGTAACAGCTGTGGTTCAATATCAGAAGGCACAACACTTCATAACTTGGATCTTGACTTCAGATGGTAAGTACACTATTCTCTGTATCAGCTTTATCCTTTTTAAACATCCATCTATCTGTATTGACTAGTAATACCAACAGTCCCAGTATAAATAATAATAATACAATGGTATTTGAGCCACGTTTGGAGAACAGGGGTTACAGAAATATAAAAGACGTTTTAGTAGCATAAAGATCTGGGGGGAAGAAATCAAGGGTGATAAAAGAGGGGGGGGTGAATTAGCCCCAAAACATCATGTTTACTCATTTTAGAAGTCCCTTCTGCTAGCCCAGTGGTTCTCAACCTGTGGGTCGGGACCCCATTTGGGGTCGATCGACCATTTCATGGGGGTCGCCAAGCAAGGCTGTCTGCCATTTTCTTTTGTCCGCCATTTTTTTCCCCTTTTCTGGCGGGTGCCTTGCCTCCCTTGGGCTGGGCCAGCTGGTGGTCAGCCTGCTCCGTCTCTGCCACTTGCCAGCTATACCTCGGCCGGCGCAAGGGGCGAAACCACGCATGTGCGGCGCTCCCGGGCAGGGAAAGTCCTCGACTTACGACCGGTTTAGTCCTCGACTTACGACCGGTTTAGTCCTCGACTTACGACCGGTTGGGGTCGCGGCATTAAAAAGGTTGAGAACCACTGTGCTAGCCCTTCCCACTACACACACTTTAGAGTAAATCTTCAGAGCAAGCCAAATCTAATTAGATTTTAGCTTGCTTTTTCTGATTTTTTGCATTCACAAAATTAGCTACCTATTTCAAAAAAGCAGAAAGCTCACCCTACTTGAAGAAAATAAAAAGTAATAAAGAAAGTTAAAGGCACATATATTTGTGTGAATTACTGATAAATGGAGACTTACAGGAGACTTTAAATAAATTATAAGCAACATTTTTTTTGATCTCCCTTGGTGAGCACACAAGCCTCCAGGCAGTCAAGCAGAGATGTCCTTGCAAAATATCAAATAATTATGTTTTTCTTTCGAGACTCTCGATGGAATATTTGTAACTTACATAGATATTTGGGCAGGGGGGAAACATTTGAAAGTGACTCAAACTTTTGTAGACATATTAATAATGCTGATTTATACAAGATGCATATATTGCATGAAGTATAATGCAATGTTAATGAATAAGTCACACAGGCTTTTATTGTGAGAATCCAGTAAACAATATTTTGAAATCTTGGGGGATATTATAGTTGGCTAACTGATTTTCAGTTAAATCATGGAAACATGGTTAGTGGCTGTCTGGCTATTCGTAGTTCTCTATCAAATTCTTAGAGCTGCAAGGCAATAGGTATAGAGGAAGAATGAAAAAACAAGTCAGATATATTTAGTACACATAATTCAAAACTATGTGTTTTCAACAAACCATGCATAAATTATAGTTGAACATACATATATTCAGTGAGTACTAAATGTTAGTTTTTCTGAAATGTATAATAAGAAATGTACACTAATATTCTGAATTATTCATATTTTATTTTTTAGGGATATGGCTTGAGTGTGATGACTTAAAAGGTTCATTCTCCAGAAGACATCATACCTTTGGGGTTCCTTCTGCAGAAATACATATTGTCATTTGGGAAAGAAAACCACCACAAATCACCAATTATTCGGATTTACAAGTTGAAGAAACAGTGAAAGCACAGTTAAAAACTACAGATAAATACTCTAATGATGAAACTGCAGACAGTGCACCTTTAACTTGTCAGAAAGCAGTTCAAATGGTGAACACACATATAGAGGAAATAGAAAACTTAGTAAGCAATCAGAAAAATAGTTTGCTTCATGGCTTGGGCAACCTGTCTGATGATGATGTTGTAACATTGGATCTTGACTTGGGTGGACAGCTGTTAGAAGGTAAATATATAGAAAATAAGCAGATAATCAGAACGGGTCCATTGCAGTTGCAAGAGTTGGATGAGAAAGATGTATGCCCACTTACTCCTGAAGGGGATATTCAAAAAAGAAGTGTAGTGTTAGGGAATACCAGTGCTCCGATGCCTGAAGGACAGCCATCTGATGCAAGCAATTTAGTTACTACACCATCAGTTGCTTTAAGTAATGGTAAAATAAATTTCTCATCCGAAATACTATTATCACAAGTCTCCTTAGTTCCAGCAGAAGAGAGCAGCAATTGCCATCCAAAGAACCCTCAGAAAAAAAACAGCAAAACAAAATTGGGAAACCCTGTG